TCAACATGGACTTCAAGGCTAAGGATTTCAAGCTAGATACTGCAACACCTACCCTCAGTGGCAACACTAAGGCTTCAATCCTCAAGGATATCAACCTAGAGCGTAGTTTGCAGCCTATGCATACTCTGGATTCCGGCCACAACAAGGTACAAACCAGCAATACTCTGCTCGTGCACCTTAAGTCCCACCAGGTTTTGATCTCGCAACATATAATGGATGGGAGAATCTAAGACTCAGTAGGAAATCAACAAGAAGGTCTTGGAGCTGAAGCAACATGTAGATGGGGGTTATACTGATCTCGAAACCAAGTTTGAAACTTCAGTTAAAGTTGATGGACCGCTTTGCTCAGGTTGCTTCCTCTTCTCAAAGGGCTCCAAGCACTCTACCTGGAAAATATGAAGCCAATCCTAAGGAGACATGCAATGTCACCTTGTCTGAGGACGAGCGCAAAGAAGAGAGTAATGAAGCACACATGCAAGAGGAAACTGAAGATGATATGGACACTGATGAGATTCTCCCTGCTACTACGGATGAGAAGTTCAGTCTAAAAACTCTGCTTTGACTGATAAAAAGATAAGCTTTGAAGAAACATTCCCTGCGGTTCACAAGATAATGAATGAGCTATTAGTACCACTCCATAGGAGGGCTGTCTCACCAAAAGACACCGTGGAACAGAGGTTCATTGACACAGTTTAAGACTACTAGTAGAAGGTTAAGAATGCTTTGGGAACACATGATGAAATGATGAAGAAAATGTCTGCTCTGAAGACACTACCTAAGCAAGTTAACCTAGGGAGGTTCATTCTACCTTGCTCTCTTGGCGAGTTTCATGAAAAAGGGCTGTGTGATACTGGATCAAACATCAACTTGATCTCTCTCTTCATGGTAAGGAAGCTGGGCATTAAAGAAGTAAAGAAGCGGGTTTGTTCAGTCACTATGGCAGATTCAGCTTCAGTAGATTCCTTGGGAATGATTGAAGGATACCCTCAGAAGATTGAAGACACTCTTG